GAAAGGTAGACTGTTCTGGCCCACCAGCTTCCCCGTGGGGAGAGAAAAAATGTAGCAATAGACTTTAGTAAGGATGTAAAAGCCTTGCCAACACCAGGAAGCAGTTCTCCCCTGTCTGAATCTAGCGGGTGGCAGCAGGTGTGCTGTCTTCTTTAGGCATCTTAGGATCCCTTTTGTGTGCTAAGTCTGAATGAGGGGTACACACTGAAGTATCAGCAGGAAATCAGGCACCTTTTCAGGCACAGCAGATACAAGAATGCACGTTTCAACGACTCTGCCTTTGAGTGGATTCCTATGCATAGTAGCCCTATATGACAGTATAGACCTGCCCCTGTGGATTTCTGAGGCTGTAAATATTTACGCAATCAGGAAATCTTAATTGTCTTCTGTGGGGTGTTGATGGGTTGGAACTGCAGGCCTTGAGGTGACCAGTCTAATGTGGAAGGGACTATGCCACCAGGGCTTAGGTGAAACTAACTACTGACCATCTATTCCCTTTTAAAAACATAAAAGAAGGAATTCTCAAATACTTATATTCCCATGAGTAGAATAATCTATGTGTCAACTACTGCCATATGCTAATATTGAGTCTATATGAAACATTAACCTATTGACATTGAGTGGATTCCGACTCAGAGAGACTGAATAAAACTACATGAATGTTACATGGCACTTCCTAGGAGGTACAGGAGCAAACTGCCTTAATCTCTCTCCCTCAGAGAAGCTGGTTGGTTTGAACCACCCACCAAGCTTAATTTCTCGTTTTAGGTAAAATCAAGTAGAAATTTTTAAAAATGTTTAAACAGAAAATGTATTATTTTATACCCACATGTAATGGATCACTCTGCATCCAACTTGATGAACAGCAAATTTGCTCACTGCACTGGAGATCAGTGATTAATATTGAAAGTTGGTTTCTTTTTCCTAAGAAAGAGTAACTAACCACCAGGAAACTACAATTACAACACTTCATAACTCTCAGAGGCAGTAGAGAGTAATCGCTTATATAAGCAAGTGTAACAACAGCAGCAAAACCTAGGAAAAAATAGGCTTAACAGGCAAAACGAGGAACATGAACTTCGCTTTATTTATAAGCAACTTAAAGAACAGAAAACAAGAAGCGGTCAAAATGCTGAAAAAGAACGTCCCGTACAAACTGAGTGGGTGCAGGTGAACCACAAAAGATGAATGGAACACATACACAAATAGGGTGTTTGTTTTTTATTCCTCCATTCCAAGACTCTCCAAAAACCATCACAGCCAGGGCTCCACAAAGACGCTCCTTAGCGGCTGTCGGGACCAGAACACCCTCGGATTCCGAAGTCCGAGGTCCGCCCGCCTCTGTCAACTCCTGGCACCGCCGGGAGTCTCCGGGCCGCGGACGCCAGACGTG